GACCAAAGACAAATTAACAGGAGAAAATAGAATTTAATTATGGACGTACAAGGAATCCACAGAGACATGAGAGGCAAAATGAAGTGTGAAGGTCCTCTGGAACTAAGGAGAAGTGGGTAGGGGTCTGGGACCTCAAAGGGAAGGGAAGCAACTTACACAAAGATGAAAGAGAGTAAATGTTTGGTAAACAAATGTTTGCTGGGCCACTCAAACAATGGGACACAAAGAGGAATTTGGTCAAACAGGCTTGCTGGGTTCCTTCTTGTCTACCATACCCAGTTCATAGTAGAATATAGTACCTATGGTGCTAGCTCTGTTTCCGGATCAGGCCCTCTGTGTTCTTTTAGGCAGTTAGGGGGAAGTTCAAAGTTTCTTCTGGAGTGTTTCTGGGCCTTGGTTATTTTTTAGCTTGAAATAATCTGCATACTAAAGGGGCACATTTGGGGGCAGTCTGCCCTTGGCCCTTACTGTATGATGAGGCCTGTAATTTACTGTCAGCAAAAAGTGTGGTTGTAGTAGCGTGTGTGTGTGTGTGTGTGTGTGTGTGTGTGTTGCGTTAAATTAAGGGCTAGCCATGACTCTGCTCAGGACTTTACACACACACCACAGGTGATCGGCTATATCAATCCAGGAGTCCATATGCCATATTATAGCTACTAATGCTTCTGTCAGCCACAGCTCAAACCAGCAGCTTTGCTAAGTAGCAAAATGAAGGTTAACAATTGGTTTTCGTTGGTGGAAATAGTAGTTTGTTAGCTAGTATAACAGGTGAGAGAAATGGGCTCGAATTGGTGAAATCAATGATATTCAAGACATGTGCATTGATTGTTTAGACTATGTGAGACTCTCCTCACCATTGCAATGACAAGGTATAATACCTTGCAAGTTGGAAGCTTGTTTCCTTAGGCAGAATACTATAGGCTAAACCTCCAAATGGCCCTGCGTCCAGCTGTGAACTCTAGGGGTTCCAGTTCTCTGATAATGGCTATGAGGCCAACAGAATCATCCCTTTGTAATTGTGGTGAGCCCATCTTGAGTGCCTTGCATGATTATCAGAGTATGTGAAACAGACAGCTGGGGCATTATTGAACTTACTATTCATAAAAACTGTTTTGTGCCACAGACTCATGGCTGTTTCATAAACATCTGAATAAATGGGCCCATGTTCAGGTTATATGCATAGCACTTAGGGGACCTGGGGAGAATACCCCCTAACCAAGGAGGAGCTATTTATCTTGTGACCTTCACTTTCCTGGCAGGCACAATTCTTTTTTAGTTATTGCTGGTTTGTTTAAATGTTTATTTATGTTTTTTGGGGGGTGACAGAGGCTCTGAAGCAGGCTCTGCACTGACAGCAGTGAGCCCAATGAGGGGCTTGAACTCATGAATCATGAGATATGACCTGAGCTGAAGTTAGATGCTTAACTGAGCCACCCAGGCGCTTCAAGGCAGGCACAATGCTTAATTGAATAGATGACAATTCTTTGGGCAAATGTGAAAATAATTAATGAAGACAGACTATGGGGTGCCTTTTTAAGATTCAGAAATGACAAAATGATGGCCCCTGAAAGCCTAAAATATAACCCCAACAAAGGATCCCAGCAGAGATAAGCAAAGTGCTTTATAGAGCTTTCGACTAAGGTTTGACAGTGACCTCTCTGAAGACACTGAAGATAAAAATCTAAACAAAGAATGAGTATATTTTAAAAAATCAGGTTAGTCTGATCTAGGGATTAGGAGACCCAAGGATTAGGAGAATGATCCACGACCTAAAGGGCCAGGCAGAAGCTATTTTTTGTCTCACCAGTGTTGAAAGCTATGCCTCACTTCTGTTCTGCTGTATTCCTTAGAAGCCAATTACTAAGCCTGGCCGAAACCCAAGAGGAGGGGAATCAGACTCCACCTTTTGAAGAAAGGAGCATCAAAGAACTTGTGGACAGATTTAAAAACCACCATTGCCTACTTTAAGATGTTATAGGACGTCTAAAATTCATATTTCTCTCAGGAGCAGTAATAGCTATGTTTCTCTTGAGCAACCACTTTGTTTTTATTTTACAGTGTTGTGAATCACTCTGTAAATTGTGTTTTACTCTTTTCTCAGCTGTCAAGAAGCTCAAAAAAACATTTGGCTCACCTCCAGGTTGTGTACAAGACCTCAAAGCATGCGTTCTATGGATTCAAGTCACCCATGACTTCATCTTCTTTTTCCTATCCTACTTTCACTCTCCTCATTTCCTTCCCCCCTATATATACATATGAATGAATGAATAACATGATATAGATCTATACATCTACATACACACGTATGTCATGGCATATGCTGCACATGTTTCCAAGCAACCTAAATCCCTTTTGAAATAAGAGCATATATAAATAAAATAAATACAATTTAATATTTTTCATCTTTTAAGACTTGAGGTCACTTACATAGCTCTTTTGTTTTATTTCTTTTTTTAAAAATGTTTGTTTAGTTTTGAGAGAGAGAGAGAGGCAGAGACAGTGAGACAGGATTCCAAGCAGGCTCCATGCTGACAGCAGAGAACCTGATATAGGGCTTGAATTCACCAATTGTGAGATCATGACCTGAGCCAAAGTCAGACGTTTAACTGACTGAGACACCCAGGTGCCCTTTGTTTTCTTAGCAAAGATAATTACTGACTTCCCCCCCTCCCCACATACTTATACTCAAACAATACAGAAAACCATGAAATAAAAATACTTCCAAATCTCACCACCCAGGTAAACACATTATTAACATTTTGATCAATATCCTTCTAAATAACTCTTTATGAACATACAGGTAATTCTACACAAATGGATATTTTTATCGAAGTATCATTGACACACAATGTTACATTAGTTTCATGTTACAATATAGTGATTTGACAAGTCTATACATTCATGCTGTGCTAGCTAGTCTGTTACCATACAGTGCTGTTACGATACCACTGATTATATTTCCTGTGCTGTATCTTTCATTCCCGTGACTTGTTCCAGGACTGGAAGCCTGTACCCCTCTCTCACTCCCCTTCACTCCTTTTGCCCATCCCCGACCCTTTCCAAATAGAATTTTTTAAAATGTTTATTTATTTATTTTGAGAGTGTGTGAGCGCACAAGTAGGGGGAAGGGCAGAGAGAGAGAGGGAGAGAGAGAGAATCCCCAGTAGGTTCTTCACTGTCAGCACAGAGCCTGATGTGGGGCTGGACCCCATGAATTGTACGATCATGACCTGAGCCGAAATCAAAGAGTTGGATGCTTCGCCAACTGAGCCACCCAGACACCCCTGGATTTTTTTTTAAGTTCTACACCCAACATGGGGTTTGAACTCACAATCTGGATGTCAAGAGTTGCATGTTCTACCGACTGAGCCAGCCAGGTGCCCCTGGAATTTTTATTTAAAAAAAAATTTTTTTTTTTAAGTTTATTTATTTAGAGAGAGCGCAAGCAGGAGAGGGGCAGAAAGAGGGTGAGAAAGAATCCCAAGCGGAGCTCGATCTCAAGAAATTGAGGTCATGACCTGAACGGAAATCAAGAGTTGGCGGCTTGACTGAGCCACCCAGGCACCCCTAGAATTTTTTTTTTTAAAGCTCACTATGCTATGTATATTTTCTAGGTCATATATAAAAAATGTTGATCATTCTTAGTAGCTGCATGGTGTTCTATTGTACCATAATTTAACTACTGTGCATTTTGACATTCCACTCCTTGAACAGGTTTGAAAAAGCATTACCCACACATTTATTATGCATCTTGCTGGGAATTTTATCTTTAAGGTGAGGCATGGTGGCTGAGACCATCAGCTTTACATAGAATCTGGGTATCGGTTCGTTATCTACTGCTCTAGTTTTGAAATCTCAAAGCTGGACTGAGGTATTCTGTCCATGAAAGAAAGTACAGGTACTTTCCCCAAATTTACAGAAATAATTAAAATTCATAGATGGAATTTCCACAATATTGAAATTTACTCTCAGGTATATTATTAATTTTTAGCGTCTGATACCACTGTTTTGTATTCAACTCTAATAAAAAATGGTAAAGGATTTACACAAATTTTCGTAATGAGTTACTTAATATATCAGAATTTTCATGACGGTCTGTGACTTTCAGCGGCTCGGTCCTTAGAGATCCATCAGATGGAAACAGGGAATATTCCTGAGCAAAACTGCACGCCCCCGCCCCAATCCTGTCAAGAAAATAGAATCGATTCAGCAAACCTAATTTGTTTAAAAATTTCAATAACGAACCGACTAGCAGAGAAAATAGGATACATTCAACATGTCATGAATTAAGCGCCGACTCAGTGTGGAGAACTGTGCTAGAAGACCGGGCGGTTCAGCCAAGGTGAATAGGGCGCAGCCACCGACCCGCACTCGGGACAGGTAAACGGTGCTGAGAGCCCTGGTGGAACAGCAGGACTCGGGGCAGGTGTCCCAGCCAGAGACCTCACATTCTGAAAGCCATTCCATCTCTCCCGTCTCGAAAGTCACGATTTCCCCTTATCCCTAAATAATTTAGGCTGAATTCCGAAGAGGAGCAACAGAAATAAAGACACAACAACGTGCGCCCACTCCGGCTCTCTCCCAAACACTGGAATATTTCTAAACTTTTCCCTCAGGATAATAAGGAGTACCTTCCGGTACTGATACATCGATTCCAGAAAACTACAAGTCCCAGTAGGCTGCTTGCGCAGCCCAGTGGAGAGTCTCCCCGTTTCAGAACGCCGCCTAATGCTCCAATCCTGAGCTGGGTCTGGGAGCCGTGGCCGCGCAGCCCGCTGGGACTTGTAGTCCGCTTCAGAGTCCCTTTCCCTGTCTGCGCAGACTCGCGCGGCCTGTGTTCGCCCTTCGGCCCTGCAGAAGCCAGCCCAGGCTTCAATGCTCCCCACCTCCGTCCCGCTCCAACCCCTCGGGGGCCAACCTCCTCCGGTCACGTGGCAAGTCTTTCATGCGGCAATTGGCCGTGGGGGCTCGGAGGCGGGGCGCGGGGGCCCTGAAAGGTTCCGTGCCCCTTGTCGGGCTGCTTGTTTGGCTGCTGCCGTCACCTCATGGCGACGCGGGTAGAGGAGGCAGCGCGGGGAAGAGGCGGCGGCGCCGAGGAGGCTATTGAAACCGGACGGGGCGGACGGCGACGCAGCCCGCGGCAGAAGGTCAGTCTGGGTGGCGGCCGCGTTGTTGCCGGCCGGGGGATGCTCAGGCTAGCCTTTTCGGGGTCCACATCTTCACTCTGTCTGGTTACCTTTAGCCACAGGACGAACATCCGGCCCTTTTCTCTCCCGGGGGTGACGACAGTGGGAGCAGGTAGGGGGGGGATTGGGACCGGGATGGATGGGGTGGGAGGGAGCGATGGTTGGGGTTTCGCGGCGCGCGGCAGAGGCGGGCAGAGGGCAGGGGGCGCAGCCCGGTGTGAGGGGGAGGGGGTGCAAGGCGGGGGCGCACCAGGTGTGACAGCCACGTGCGGCCGGCGCCGCGGAGCCCCCGGCGCCAGGTGTTCCTTCTCTCAGCCCCCGCCCTCGGCGTGTTCTCCGTGCTTCCCGTGCTCTCCGCGCTGGGCGCTGCCGTCGGGGGGCTGCCTGGGTCACCGGCCGGCCCTGCTCTTACCGGGCAGGTGCGCTGGGCGCGCTGCGGGGTGCGCCCGGGCGGCGCGGGCGAGGCTGTTGCGCAGTAAGATAACCGCGCGGGAGCCGGGGTTGCACTGCGCCCCGCTTCCCCCGCCCCCTCTGCGCTCCCCGCCACTGCGCGGGCGGGCGAGCGCCGCGGGGCTGGAAGGACCGCTGGGTTCCCGGCCCCGGGGCTCGTCTCTGGGCGCCGCGGGCCTGGTTACACGTGGAGCCAGCGATGGGAAGACGATGCTGGAGGACCTGGGTCCCGTAGAGTTGGGGGCAGCATCGCGTGATAGCCGGCCTTCCTATTTTTGCCTCGCTCCCCCTTCTTGCTCTTTATTTCCTCCCCTTTTTTCTTTTTATTTTTTTGGGGGTGACGGAAACTTGAGCGACTCCCCTACCCTGGCCTTTGGTCTCTCATAATCTCGGAGGCAGGCTGGACCGTTCCCCTTGCCTTACTTGACTCACGTCAAGGAGTTTTCAGTGTCTCCCTGGATACAGGGAAATCGAGACCTTCAGATGGGAGAATTCCACTTGTTCTGGAGTCAGTGGGTGGAGTTTGATAAAGATTGCACAACAAATGGGGTACAGGGCTTTCAGGGCCCAGGAGTGGAAATCCGCACGGTTAGGCGCTGGAAAGATGGAAACCCTGTCTCTCTTTCCTTATAGTTGAACCTCCTGAAACGTTCAACCTGTTGGACGTCCTGCTTGATCACTCAGGGCTATTTTAATATTTCTTAATTACATATTTGAATACTCTCAAAAATCACTCCTGTGTGAAGTTACGAAATATTTTTCTAATGCCAATTTACCGTCTTGAAAAAGGAGAACAAAGGTTTGGCTTACATCTGCGCACAGCGTCAAGAATTGGCTTTTGGGGGCCTGTTTCTACGGTCAGGTATTTTCATACCCCTCTGCATAAGGGTGTTACTACTTCTCAGTTATCTGTCTTTCTCTCCCTCTCTTTGTACTGTAAAATAAAGATCCACTACTTGAAGGGCTGGAAAAGAAGCTGTGGACCGAATGTACTCTAGGGATTCAAAACTGTCACTTTGGACGCTTCGTTTTTTCCCTGAGAGTGGGGAGCCAATCTCCCTGTTTGATTTCATAGGTCTCCCAGGGGAGGACTCTGATAAAAAAAAGCCACTGCAGTTGAGGGCATAAGTTCCCTTTTGTGCCACTGGGGTTAGGACCAGAAGTCTGAATTAGGAACTGAGGTTTAATCAACTAGTATTTTATTTATTAAAATTGTTTTTTTCTAAATGTTTTATTTATTTTTGAGAGAGAGAGAGAGAGAGAGACAGCGTGAGCAGGGGAGGGTCAGAGAGAGAGGGAGATCCAGAATCCGAAGACAGGCTCCAGGCTCTGAGCTAGCTGTCAGCACAGAGCCCGATGTCAGGCTCGAACCCATAAACCGTGAGATCATGACCTGAGCTGAAATCGGATGCTTAGCCAACTGAGCCACCCAGGCGCCCCTCAACTAGCATTTTAAATGACCAAGAGGTAATGACCCTTTGAGGCAGCACTCTGGGTAATAGCTAGATATGAATACTCATGTGTGTCTGTAAGGTCTCATTTTTGTTTAATAATCTCCTGTACCTTTTTTTCTTTGCTCATGTTTTTCTGGGCATCATTTTTCCTTTTGATTTCCAATGGACTATGACATGGAATTGAAACACCCAATTAAATATTAGTTTTTGAATTTTTGTTTAAAAAAATAGGAGACTATCTTGTGTCTGCAAAAATCACTTGTTTATGACCCTTAATTTTTTTATTTCTCTGGGTTACTAACTTGAAAAAATATTCCTAATTATAACTTGACTTGTATCCTATTTTTCAGGAAGCACTAATGATGTTTAACTAACTGGAATGTTTTCAGAATTTTGAAAGAATTAAAGGAAAAGTGACTGGTCACTTTGGTTACATTATGGGACTGAAAGTGAAAAACAATTGGAGATGGGCTTTATTGGTTCCTATTTGTTTGGACCATCTACTTAGTCATTCTTCACCAGCTCAGTTAATTGTGTCATTGTTTCATAACTACATCCATTGAATAGTCTCTTAAGGTAACTCTTTTCTTCTAAAGTTAATACTAGTACATTTCTAGGGAATCTCTTGAATTATCTAAAACTGTGCTGATATGATAGTCACTAGCTGCATGTGGTAGTTTAAATGTTAACAGAAAATAAATAAAATTTAACATTCCATTCCTCATCTGTACTAGCCACATTTTTTTAAGTTAAATGTTTTAATTAATTATTTAAAATTTTTAAAAAGTGTTTTATTTATTTCAGAGAGAGAGAGACAGTGTGAGCAGGGGAGGGTCAGAGAGAGAGAGAGGGAGATACAGAATCCGAAGCAGGCTCCAGGCTCTGAGCTAGCTGTCCACACAGAGCCCGACGCGGGGCTTGAACCCATGAACCGTGAGATCATGACCTGAGCCAAAGTCGGACACTTAACCGACTGAGCCACCCAGGTGCCTCGTATACTAGCCACATTTCAAGTGTGGTTAGTAGCTAGTGTGGTTAGTGGCTACCGTATTAGAGCAGATCAAAAATATTTACATCGTGGCATAAAATTCTCTTCGACAACATTGGTCTAAAAAGGATATACATTGTCATGTAATCTGGGCATTTTTTTAGAACACCAAGATCATTCATTACTTTCTAAATTTCTGTATAGAATTTGTTTTATAAGGTTGAATTTTTAAAAACTTAATACTCTTTTTTGAGCAGTTTTAAGTTACAGAAAAATTGAGCATAAATTACAGAGTTTCTGTACATTCCCTCACACACGCTGTTTCCCCTATTATTTACATCTTGCTTTCATGTGGTGCTTTTGTTAGAATTGATGAATCAATGTTAATACGTTGCCATTAACTAAAGGCCATAATTTGCATTGAGGTTCATTCTTGATGTTACACATTCCGAGAGTTTTGACAAATGTGTAATGTCCTGTATCCCCCATTATAGTATCCTACAGAATAGTTTTCACTGCCCTGAAAATTCCCTATATATCCCTGCCTTTATTCCCCCCAGACTACTGGCAGTCACTGATCTTCCTATCTCTATAGTTTTGCATTTTTCCAGAATGTCTAAGGGAGGTTTTTCTTTTTCCTAATACTAGATTTTTGCTTTGGAATATTAAAGATTATTTAACTGCTGCTAAACTTATTTTTAGGTCGGTAAACCATTTGGAAGGATAAAGGTATGTAACCAAGGCTCAGATTAGCAAAATCTTACATCAGCATAGTGCCCCATAATTTTTACAGCACACATGTTAACTCTTTGAGCATTACTGGATGCTATGGACAAGGCTGGGGCAGCTGTAATTGCCCTCATTTAAAGATGACAAACTGCTCAGCAAGGTCTAGTAATTTGCCCAAGGGATGAAGCCGAATCTAGAACTCAATACCCTTTCATCTAGACTGTGGTAATTAGTACTGTACTAGTGGGTGAATAGTATGCATTTTGGAGTCAAGACTCTTGGCTCTCTGCCATTTACTAGCTGTGCAGGCTTGGGTGAGTTTCTCAATCTCTCTGAGCCTCTGTTGCATCAGTGGTAAAGTGATGATGATGCCAACACCTGCCACACAGGATTGTTGTGAAGAGGAAGAGTTGATGTAAAGTGTGCAGCACAGTACTGGCACTGGGCGGGTAGAATTTTAGCTGATCTGGCAGGGAGAATATATGAAAGATCCATTTCTCTTGCTTTTAGTGTGCTATTAATTTTGTACATCCATCTTCCGACCTTTGTATTCTTCTCTCTTCCCAGAATTTCTCTGTGGTAGATAAAATGAGGAGAAGTCCAGTCAGGGTGTGGCAAGAGTGTGGGGTAGGAAGAAACCATTTCATTATCTTGTTTTTCTCTCCATTTGTGGATTTGAATTTCCACTCTTTTGGCACAGAGATTAAATATTAAGAATCAAAGTGATCTTCTAATGACAACATTGTTGTCTATTATCAAACTTTGGTAAATTCAGTTTTCAAGGGGAACCAAAGAGGCAAAGCAGTATTGAGAGCCGAACAGATATAGCAAGTTTCTTTAGTAATACCATGTTTCTAGATCATAATATGCCACATTTATTTACTATGTTACTGGAAGGTGTTTTGGATTTTATGTGTTTCATTTGTATTGGTCTTGACTGGAGAAGTTTTTTTTTAATTGAAGTATAATCAATACACAGTGTCAAATTAGTTTCAGGTGTACCTGAAATAGTGATTCAACAAGTCTAATGTGTTCACCACAAGCTTAGCTGCCCTCTGTCACCATACAGTGCTGTTACAATAGCTTTGACTGTTTTCCTTATGCTGTACCTTTCATTCTGGTGACTTACTCATTCCATAACCAGAAGCCTGTACCTTTCACTTCCTTTCACCCATTTTGCCCATCATCCCCCCACTACCTGCCTTCTGGCAGTCCTCAGTACTTATGGATATGTTCGTGCTTTTTGTTTATTTGTATTTTTTATTTTTTTTGGATTCCACATACAATGAAATCATGGTATTTTTTTGTTCTCTGTCTGACTTCATTTACAATAATGCCCT